GGAGGGATTGAGCTGTCAATAATCACGCCAAAAAAAAAAAAAAAGCAGAAGTGCTAAAAAACATTTCTGGTTCTCTCTTTGGGAAAAAAGCCAGATGCTGTATTGAGATCAGACAATAATGATGTTGAAATACTTTCCATTACAGTAACTAAGGAGGATGTTAAAACAACTGCTACTCATCTCAAACAATATGAAGTTGCCAGGTCTGGGTAATTGAGGAGTGAGTGTTTCAAAAGAACCAACTAAGGACATATCCAGATGGTTGATGTTTATTATCAACTCATTTCGGAGCRGCGGGGAAGCCCCAGGTGACTTGGAGAATGTTGGTGTGGTGTCAATATTGCAACAGGGGTAAACAGAACGAGMCAGAGATGACTGTGAGTGCTCCACAAACCTGGGCAGAGGACTCGAGATGGAGAAAGATTTCTAAATCATGATGGTTTGGTTAATGGCAGTGGTGTTTTAATCACCCTGACTCGGTGCAGAGGGATTTTCAGAGTAAGAAATGAGAGCATGACAGACGAACGTGGTGTGAGCACAAAAACTGGTCCAGCCACAGGCTGATACATCTGGAAAGGGAATTTAGATTTTAATCAAGATTTTAATATTGGTTCTTGGTCTTTTTTTATCWTCGCTCACCATTCAGGGCTGTTAACAATGAGCTGGAAGAGAACAGAAATGGTTTCTGATAAAGTCCTGGATGACAAGGAGCAGGGAACATGTCATTGTTAGAGAGTTTTTTTGGCTCTCCAAGCAGACACAAACCCCACTCAGGGTGATACAGAGAGGCTGAAAGCCACACTTCTATGAAGGGAAAAGGCCAGCAGCCCTGTTTTTGGCAAGGACACAAATAGGTGCCTACAAGGGACAACAAATAAGAAACCCATGACACCCAAATTGCTCTGCTTTTAGATTTCACTTTTCTTGGTACCTTTTTGCAGCCTCTACCTCCCATCAGTGCAACCCTAAAGAAGCTGGACTTCTCCCAGGGGTTCAAATCATCTCTGGATGCTTCCTAGCCCTGCCCCCAGCATTTCCATCAGGTCTCCAGGGCTCTGTTCCACCTTCCACTCTCCCCCCACATCCCACGAGCTCTGCTTTCCAATCGCCATCAATTTGATCTCAAAAAGCYTGGGAGAAGGGAGCCAGGGCTGGGTGCAGAGGGTGGAATGGTGGGGCTGCTTGGAAGGGACCTTMAATCCCATCCAGTGCCACCCCTGCCATGGCAGGGACACCTCCCASTGTCCCAGAGTGCCMCAATCTGGTCTGGGACACTTCCAGGGATCCAGGAATAACCACAGCATCTTTGGGAATTCCATTCCAGGGCCTCACCACCTTCACAGGGGAAAAATCCCTTCCCAAAATCCCATCMAACCCTGTCCTCTGGTACAGGGAAGCCGTTCCCTGTGTCCTGGCACTCCATGGCACGAAGAGCTGGGGGTCAGGAGGTTTTGCCAAGCAACTGCTCACCACAAGACCACGACAGAAGGCACAAGAGAAGTGACTCATGTTCGTCTGCTACTCCACTTTTCCAGCSCTCAGACCTCAAGAAAGGCTTTGGAAATATGCAGATAGCTCAGAGGAGGATCACTGAGCAAAAAAATATAGTATTAAAGGGAGATATGTTTTCCTAAAAACTTAATGAGCCCCTTCAACTCCAGCTCATCAAAGAGAGGGTTTGCCTTTGTCTGCGAGTCCCTGCATGGGAATCAGCTCCAGTCATGAAAGGTCTGGTCAAAAAGGCTCCTTTCTCCAATTAATTCATGACGTTGCTTTAATCAGACAAAAGACCTACGGGATTAAATCGCTCTCCCCAAATTAAGATGCGTCTCCAACGCACACACCTGTGTATAKTTCATTTTATGTGGTTGTTTGCATCATTTTATCAACTTCCTTGGCAGCAGATTCTAAAAAGTGCTTGCTCAGAACCCGCAGCTTAAAAATAGAAGGGAAAAGATTTGTATTGTCAACAAAACTGTGACAATTTGGTCAACAAATCTGCGACAATTTGAGAGGCAGGCAAGGAAATCCTCGGTGTCATCGGGTGTTACCTGTGCATTTTCGACTCGTTTACCCTGTTATTGCTGCTAYTACCGGTTTGCTCCGGGTGCAATCGGGACTTGCTGAGAACAATTCCCGAGAAATGAGGTTTTTTTTGTTTGTTTGTTTGAGTTCTGTCGTGACTCAGAGCTGGGGCAGCCAGGTGACGTTGGTGTTGCACCAACCCCATCCAACTTCGGCACAGCCCCAGCTCGGATTCTTCTACTCACAAACAAAATCTTGATTGCAACCCCTTGAAAAGCTACTCCTTGATCTAAAAGCAACAAGAGGGATCAGCAGCAACACCTCGGAAAATCAACTTTGTTATAAAAACGGCCGAGTCCGTGTTTGCTTTGGCTGCGAGACAAATCACACATCATTCAGCTCTCCCCTACCCACAGCAGATTAACAAATCCTCTCTAATCTCGCATTCTTCACATTTACACACCGGTGGCATCACTCCTGAGCGTTTCGATATTTAAAATAGGTGTTCTGAGCAGCAAAGGGCCAGAAAATGTCAGCGCCCGGACCGAGTGGAAGGTCAAGGCAAAGTTGTTCTCAATTTGCGCAGAGCCGGTGACTCACAAGGTAAATAAATTCTCACATTTGTCTCCCCCAGCTTTAGCGCAGCTCCCAATTTTTAACCTCGCCGCTTTTCTCGAAAAAAAAAAAAATAAAAAGAGAAACTAAAGGCAGTGAGTTTGTTATTTGAGTTTGTTATTTTGTGCGCTCGGCTTTCACGCTCTCTGCCCGCTGAGCGTTTCCTTTACGCGGGGAAAACGCCGAGTTTGGTGACAGAACCGTGGCAAGGGCTGTAAACAAAACCCTCCCCGTGCCCACTGGAAGGCAGCATCCCATTGGAGCTCCCCGGCGAAACCTCCACGTCCAGTTGCATATCCTAGAAACAAAATATTTTGTTACAGCCGCCCGCTGAAATCACAAGCGCGTATAAACCCACACAGACGCTCGGGGCGTGTTATCAGGGGAACGCTCGCATTCATTCTGAATTCATCAGAGCAGATTTTCTTGGCTGACTCACAGCCCCGTATCCATACGTAGGGCTGGCTGGAGGAGGTTTTATTGGAGGAAAAGGGGTTTACATTGAGAGATTACACAAGTGTGACATTGCAGAGCAGTGAGTCACGCACATCTTTGTGTACGGCGTTACCATGCATCCTTGGTTCCGCTCCAGCAAGTTTTGGCTGCTCCTTCTGGCCAACCTGTGAACTTTTAGAATGAGAAAATAGTATAGAAAGCTGAGAGAGAGAGATATATTCCTGATTGTAAAACGTTCGTRGCTGTTGAGGAGATCGTTTGCTCACCCCGGCAACCGAGCTTCCCCCRAGGTGGGGAAAGGTGAACAGGGCTGGGCTCAAAACGCTTCAGAAAAGCAAAACCCATCGAGGGCATCGCTCCTTCCCCTCCACGCAAAAAAATTAAAGTGATTCTCATGATTTTCACCTCCCCTAAAAACTCTTTTAAAAGCGATTGCAAAGGAAAAAGGGAGGAGGAAAGGAGAAAGTGTAGCTCTTTCAGTGATCAGGCTCTCAAAGGATCAGTCTGTCCCTTGATTGATCAGCGTTTTTCTCCCTCTCAGAGCTGTCACTTTTGGTCCTGGATTATGGCCAAGCAGCCAAAAACAGGAGTCTGGGCTGTTGTTATCAGGAGTTATTGGAGAGTTGCTCCTTCAGGCTCAGCATCTGAGCTAGGAATCGAGGCAAGGGAGGAGAACAACCTTCCCTGCTGAAAAAATTCAGCCCAAGACCATAAGTTCCCTACAACCAGAGGAGATCACARGAGCTCTGTGCATTTTTTTCTCTCTCAATGTCACGGGGCAACATCGATTTTGGCGATTTTTGTGTGGCAAATGCAAATTCTGCTGCAGACCCGGACTTCTGTTAAACACAAAATTCCAGCCCAGACCGTATCAGAGTGGCACCCAACACCTTCCTGTCAGCACCCAGAGGCATCTAGGATCTTTAGGGTGACCAGAAGTGCCCATCATCACTCACCCATGGGACAGGGGCATGTCACCCTCACTGTGCTCCTGGCACCTTCCACTGCCACCCTCTTATTCTGATTACACCAGGGATGAGGCCGGGTTKTGGGGCAGCAGCTCTGAGTTGTGGGGCGATCAAACCCCTAATTCGTGGTGTCTTTCTTAGGGCAAGGAGCCCTCGGTGTTCCCCATCCCACAGCAAACCCGTCATGATCTCTCCTGGCACAGGAGAGGGTTCCTCGGTGTCCCTGGGACCCCTCAGCATCCCCTGGGGACAGAGAGACCCCTTGGCACGGACACCTCAGTGTCCCTCACTGGCTGCTGTCCAAGGTGGGGGGCACGATCCCTGATGGGTGTGGGGGTCACTGTCCAATGTGGGGGTCACTGCTCGATGTGAGGGTCACAGCCTGGTGTGGGAGGCACTGACCGATGTGGGGGTCACAGCCCTGTGTGGGGGTCACTCCCAATGTGGGGTCACAGCTCGATGTGGGGGTCACTGACCGATGTGGGGTCACAGCCCCACAGTCCCTGCCCGGTGTGGGGGTCACTCCCAATGTGGGTGTCACTGCTCTATGTGGGGCTCACAGCCCGGTGTGGGGGTCACAGCCCGGTGTGGGGGTCACTGCCCCACAACCACCGCCCCGTGTGGGGATCGCGGCTCCACAGCCACTGCCGGACCGGGGGTCGCTGCTCCCCGACCGCCCGCGATCCCCGCGATCCCCGCGATCCCCGCGATCCCCGCGATCCCCGCGATCCCCGCGATCCCCGCTACGAGGGGCGGGCTGCGAAGGGGGCCCGTCCCCGTCCCCGTCCCCGTCCCCGCTCCGCTCCGCTCCGCCCCGCTCGGGCTGGGACCGCCGCCGCCGCGTCCTTTTATACCGGGGCTAAATTTAGGCTGCGCCCGAGCCGCTGCCTCCCGCCCGCCCCGTCCGGGACGCGTTTCCTCCAGCTCCTGCAATTGGCCTGAGGCCGTCCGCGCCCGCGTTATAAGGTGCGGAGGGCGGCCGGCCGCGCTCGTCCCGCACCATGGCGCTGAGCGACACCGCCCTGCCCTCCTTCGCCACCTTCGCCAGCCCGTGCCGAGAGAAAGCCCTGCACGAAGTGAGTGCGCCCGGAGCTCGGCACCGACGGCTCCCGGTCCCGGAGCCGCGGCCCCGCCGCTCCGTCCCCGAGCGCGTCCCCCCCGCGTCCCCCGAGGCGAGCGGCGCCTCTAACCCTGTCCCTTTTCTCTCTCTCCCCAGAGGTGGAAGTGYGAGCAGGAGGTCAAGACCCCCGCCGGCAGCTGGGGCGGCCTCTCGCCGCGCAAAGAGGATGAGGATCTCAACAACGTGCTGGATTTTATCCTTTCCATGGGCAGCGACGGCTACGGCCAGGGAGCTGCCGGTGGCGACTATCCCCCCGCSCAAGGCGACGGCGGTGGCTTTTACCAGACAAACCCGTCGCCGGGATGCTACAGTGGSCTGGAGCAGGGCAGCCCCCCGCCCTACAACGCCGGCATGGTGCCGGAGATGATGCGCTCGGACATGGACTCCAACTACTGCCCCTCCGGCAGCGTCCACGGGCGCTTCTTCGTCACGCCCACCTTCGGGGGCCCGCAGTTCGTGGAGAACATTAAACCCGAGCCCGACATGGACAATTACGGCCCGGTGCTGGGTCTGGTGCCTCAGGCTTGCCCGAAGATCAAGCAGGAGGGTAACGCCACCTGCATGCTGGCCTACGAGCAGCCGCGGGTGGCCAGCTCCCCGCAAATCCCCGGAGCCGAGACGCCGCCGCTGAGCCCCGACGATCTGATGGTGACAGAGTGCCACTCGCAGATGATGTGCCCYTCGTCCGTGTCCTTCCAGCAGAGCTACCACCCGCCCTCCGGCTTCCACCACCCGCAGAGCCACCTCCAGTACCAGAACACCTCGCASTTCGGCCTCTTCGAGGACAGCCTGCCCTTACAGCCCTCTGCTCCGCGGGGAATGCTCACGCCTCCCTCGTCCCCGCTGGAGCTGCTGGACTCCAAACCCAAGCGAGGACGGCGTTCGTGGCCGAGGAAGAGGACGGCCACTCACACKTGCAGCTACGCCGGCTGCGGCAAGACCTACACCAAGAGCTCGCACCTCAAGGCTCACCTGAGGACGCACACAGGTAAATAAACACCCCACGGTGGCTTTCATTGGGAGGGAGACGCGCTGGGATAAGCCGGGTGTAAAGCAGTTCTCAGCCTGGTTTTAAAACCATCAAACAGTTTTTTAACTGTTAAACTCGCGGCTGAGCTGCGGCAGGTGCTCGGGTGTGTCACATCCAGGTGTTCACCTGCCTGGTCAAAACTTTCCTGAAGGCTTCCAAAGCCCTTTTTTTCCCCCCCAAAGATGAGTGAGTAAAGGAATTCCTGATAGTTTAGCGCGAAATCGCTGGGATCTGGCTGCTGAAGGGCTGGGGAGCAAATAAATCGCTGGGGAAGCAAATAAATCGCTGGGGAAGCAAATAAATCGTGGGGAAGCAAATAAATAGTGGGGAGCGATAAAAGCGGGCGGGTTGGAGGGCAGAACCGCTGTGCCTCATCTCTCTCCCCGTTTCCCCGAGCAGGTGAAAAGCCCTACCACTGCAACTGGGAAGGCTGCGGCTGGAAATTCGCCCGCTCSGACGAGCTCACCCGGCACTACCGCAAACACACGGGTCACCGRCCCTTCCAGTGCCACCTGTGCGACAGAGCCTTCTCCCGCTCGGATCACCTGGCTTTGCACATGAAAAGGCACATGTGACCCGCAGGGGACACCGGACTCGAGCTGTTCAGGTGCGGTTGAAGTGTTGGAAAACCTGTAGCTGGTACTACAAGGAGGAGGAAGCGAGCGATGCTCCCAGACGGACGCTGAGGATGCGACACACAAAGGAGGCTCAGCCGAGCATCTCCCGCAAAAATAAAAAATAAAAAAATCTGGGACTGAATCAGCGCCCTGAGAAAAACAGGGCTATTTATGCCCTGAAGGGGGTTATTTATGCAGCTTCTGTGAAGGGTAAACTCMATAAGACTCCATACAGATTGTATAGGAAAAGCTGTAAATATGATTTTTTTTTTTTTACCCCCGGTCCCGAGCTTTACAAGACAATGTTTGTATGGAAACTGCCTGAAGTTGACCCTAGAAGAGATAAAATGAATGTTACTGTAGCTGACGGTGTTAGTTTAGATCTCAGTCTAAAAGAACACTCCTCTTGTTAGACTGTTCGGTTCACAGGTGCAATAATATTCTTGTTTGCCATGATCTACACTAGAAGTACAGGGCTTGATGTCTTGTAAGAAAATAACCTATTTTACTGTAATTTTTTTTATATATATATTGTAAATAATTTTATACAATGAGAAATATTGTATATGTAAATAGAAGACAAATGGGTATTTTGCCTATTTCTGTTTTTATAAAGACGTAATTTTTCAATGTTTGAAAGCATTTCATCTTTTTAATAAAATAAGTTTTTAATTGCTGTGATTTTCATTCTCCTTTGAGATCTTTCCTGTTGCTTTTTTTCCCAGCAACCACCTGGTTGTGTTTTAAATTATCGACAACTCCAAGAAGACACTTAAAAAAAAATAAAATCCAAGCAGTGGATTTTTCTGAAATAGATGACAGAGTAAGTAATTCATTCTCGGTGGTAAATAAGACACAGTAGAGTGCTTTATCAAAAAATCAAACAGGAAAGCAGATCACATTCAAAATACACTTCCTAAAAATGGTTAAGTAAGCAACGCTATAATTTCAGTCTCATTTCTAGTTTATGCTAGACTATTTTAATAGTTTAATGTTTTCCAGATGCAGTTCTAGTTTTGCCAGCAGCGTGTGGGTTTTTGCTATAAATTTAAACACTGCATTTTTGTAATTATGGAGGCTTATTTTAAGGCATTCTCGTACATAAATTATCCTTGTTCTCAAGAGCTCCGTGCAGAATTCCAGTAGAACAGTAGTGGAATTCAAGCATGAATGCACAACACGGGTTAAAATACCTTCATAAATCCCTCCCCAGAAGTTAAATTCACTTCATCATCTTTGTGCCACCTAGAWTTCAGAAAGTTATTAACTATTTGTGGGGGTGGAAAATCAGCCAGGAATTGAGACTGTGAAAGTTAATCGCGAATAAATCGGATGCTGCAGCACCTATGGTGGTAAAGAGAGCTACAAGAGTCAAACAGAGCACCCCAAAAAAATTATTCCCAGCTTTAAATGAGCTCAGAAAGCAGAAAATCCAAGCTGTTGTTTTGAGAGTTTGACAGCTCTGCTTTGGTGATCTTGATACTTCCACATCATCAAATATGCAGATCAATCTTAATATTGCAGCGTTTTCCCCGTAACACCTAGAATTTGATTTTAATCAAGATTGGGACCTTTTTTATCTCTGACTTTTACGTTAGAATATGAGAATGAAACCAAGAGGAATGCATTCAGAGTAAGCACAAATATAGCTGTTCTTCTGTGAAAGCAGAGGCTGGGCTTGCTCATGTGGAACAGATGTATTTTGGGTTTCTAATCATTGGCATGGAAGAATGAGTTCCACATTTCACTTTTATAGCCCTTTCAAAGTGAAATATAAAGGGAGCTTTAACGTTTCTTCATTAGAAACAAAACTCATTTATTCACTAGAAGAAAAAAAAAAAATTAAAAATTGCACAATCTAATTCCAGAAAGTGAGGATGACTTAAAGATGTTCTAAACTTGGCACACTCGTTGTTGCAATAGTTCTAGGTATTTCCTTCTCTTTCCTCATCGCTGAATATTTTCATATTTCAGCATGTCCTTTGGTGTTTATAACTTTCAGAAAGCAGCTTTTCAAATCCTTGCTCTCATCTTTTCTCAATCACCTGGCATTCCCTTGTTCTTGCTGGAGAACTGGAAATGGTTTTAGGAATTTCTGTTTTTCAGCATTCCCTGTTTTTGGTATAACCTGGGTTTCAGCTTGAATTTTTCCTGTTTTTTGTAATGCAATTTGGAAGATAAAGAAGTGTGACACCTCCAAATGCTCAGCCTGGAGAAGAGAAAGCTCCAAAGAAACCTCAGAGCCCTTTTCAGTTCCTAAAAGGGCTCCAAGAGAGCTGGAGAGGGATTGTGGACAAGGGATGGGGGGACAGGACAAGGATTAGATGGGATATTGGGAAGAAATTCTTCCCTGTGAGGGTCTGGAATAGAATTCCCAGAAAAATCGTGGCTGCTCCAACCCTGGAAATGTCCAGGGATGGGTTGGATGGGGCTTGGAGCACCCTGGGACAGGGGAAGGTGTCCCTGACATGAAAAAGGGTGGAACTGGATGGAATTTATGTTCCTTTCCAACCCAAACCATCCTGGGATTCTGGGAATCTGGGATTTTGGGATTCTGGGAATCTGGGATTGTGAGATTTTGAGATTCTGGGATTCTGGGAATCTGGGAATCTGGGATTGTGAGATTTTGGGATTCTGGGATTCTGGGATTCTGGGATTGTGAGATTCTGGGATTCTGGGATTCTGAGATTCTGGGATTCTGGGATTCTGAGATTCTGGGGTTCTGGGATTCTGGGATTCTGGGGTTCTGGGATTCTGGGATTTTGGGATTCTGGGATTTTGGATTTTTGGGATTTTGGGTTTTTGGGATTCTGGGATTTTAGGAATCTGGGATTCTGGGATTCTGGGATTTTAGGAATCTGGGATTTTGGGAATCTGGGATTTTAGGAATCTGGGATTTTGGGAATCTGGGATTCTGGAATTCTGAGATTTTAGGAATCTGGGATTCTGGGATTCTGGGATTGTAATATTCTGGGATTCTGGGATTCTGAGATTTTAGGAACCTGGGATTTTGGGAATCTGGGATTCTGAGATTCTGGGATTCTGGGATTCTGGGATTTTAGGAATCTGGGATTCTGAGATTCTGGGATTCCAGGCCAGCTGCAGACAGGGAATGCCATGAAGTGCTCTTCGAGGCCTTTGTGCAGGAGAAACTGTCACCAGAAAAACTCTCACTGGGTGCTCCCCCTCCTCCTGCAGGGCCTCCATGGGACCATCCAAACCTCAAAAAAACACCCTCAGACCCCAAAAACCCCTTTCTTACAGCCCCTGTGCACTCACAGCCCAAAAGAATTTTATTATTTTAATGATTTTATAAAACATCACAAAATAAGGGATGGAGAACGCCTGGATGGGGACAGAGAACTCAGGGCTTTGGGTTCTGAAAACTGCACTGGAGGACCTTTTTGGGAATTTAAACAGCACAGAAAAGGAGCAGTGGCAGTCCCTGAACTTTGGGATTTGTGGTGAAGGTCCCTGAACTTTGGGATTTATGGTGACAGTCCTTGAGATTTGGGATTTGTGGTGACATTCCCTGAACTTTGGGATTTGTGGCTCAGCTGCAAACAAGAATCCTCAGAGATTAATATAAAAGAGCTCTTATAAAAATATATTAAATTTGGGGAGTTGTGAGGGGACAAAAAGCACCAATAAAAGTTCACAAGAAACTTTCTGGTCATTGTTTGAGGGAGGGCGTGTGCGATAAACGCCGTGTGGTCTTTACAGGAAACTGCAGGTCCTCGAATCTTGAGATCATCTTGTAGCAGGAAAAAAAGCAAAGAGATGCTGATCTCATTCTTCTCACAATCCATTATGATGAATTGCCAACTCTCCTTTTTTTTTTTTTTTTCCTTTCTTTAATTGTTTTTAACGAGTGCATCCAAAGATGTGTCGCTGTAATTCCAGTGATCTGCCAAACCTCCCCGAGGCAGCAGGAAATCACTAATTTTTCACAATTTCTCCACTAACTTTTCACAATTTCTCCACTAATTCTCCACATTTTCTCCACTAATTCTCCACATTTTCTAATCAGTGACCATCAGGTTGCCATCTCTGAAGTAATTTGGTTCTAATTAACCATCCGAGGGAGCATCCAGGAACCACAAGCTGTCCTGGATTTGATTTTGACCAACCAGGGAAAGGAAAAAATGGCAGAAATTGTGATGGGAGGAAACGCAGAGTCCGTTGAAAACGAGATTTTCACACGTATTAATGCAAGATACCACAGCCATGGGCTGGCTGTTGTTGCAAGATAAATGGTGAGATAAGAGGAGCAGGTTTGGTGCAGAAACAAATCAATCCTGCACAAATTTCCCAGTGAAAACTCAGGAAATGTTGTTGAACTCAGCTCCCTCCAGGGTTTTAGAGCGTTGGGCTTTGCTGTGCTGAAAATGGGTTTTGCTCAGCTGCTGAATGCAGGAGAGTCAGGGGAACCCTCTGAGATGGGACTGCCCTGACAGAACCCCCGAGATCCCAAAACAGCCCAGGGCAGGGACAGGATTGGCTCCAGCCACAGCGGGGTCAATGGGCTCGGTCACCTTCGGGGTCTCGAAGGTGATGGCGCCCTGTGCTCACCCAGCACCATCCAGAACCATCCAGAACCATCCCAGAACCATCCAGAACCAACCCAGGACCATCCAGAGCCAACCAAAACCATCCAGCACCACCCCAGAACCATCCAGAACCATCCCAGAACCATCCAGAACCATCCAGAACCAACCAGCACTATCCAGAACCATCCAGCACCATTCTAGAGCCATCCCAGAACCATCTCAGCACCCCCCAGGACCATCCCAGCACCATCCAGAACAATCCAGAATCATCCAGAACCATCCAGAACCATCCAGCACCATTCCAGAACCATCTCAGCACCATCCCAGCACCCTGTGCTCACCCAGCACCATCCCAGAACCATCCTAGCACCACACAAACCCTGAACCAGCACCTGTGGAACATCTTCAGCACCAACCCAGGACCATCCAGCACCATCCCAGAACCACTCCAGCATCACCCCAGCACCCTGTGCTCACCCCAGCACCATCCAGAACCATCCAGAACCATCCCAGCACCATCCAGCACCACCAAGAACCATCCAGAACCATCCAGAACCATCTCAGCACCATCCAGAACCATCCCAGAACTGCTCCAGCACCATCCAGAACCATCCAGAACCATCCCAGAACCATCCAGAATCATCCAGAACCATCCCAGAACCATCCAGAACCATCCCAGAAACATCCAGAACCATCCAGAACCATCCAGAACCACCCCAGGACCATCCAGCACCATCCAGAACCATCCCAGCACCATCCAGAACCATCCAGCACCATCCAGAACCATCCAGCACCATCCCAGAACCATCCCAGAACCATCCCAGCACCACCAAGAACCATCCAACCATCCCAGAACCATCCAGAACCATCCAGAACCATCCCAGAACCATCCAGAACCATCCCAGAACCATCCAGAACCATCCAGAACCATCCAGAACCAACCAAAACCATCCAGCACCCTGTGCTCACCCAGCACCATCCCAGCACCATCTCAGCACCTGTGGAACGGCCCAGCACCATCCCAAAACTGCTCCAGCACCATTCAGTACCATCCCAGCATCACCCCAACACCCTGTGCTCACCCAGCACCATCCCAGCACCATCCAGCACCATCCCAG